CTCCCTTCCCACATAAACATGCCAGCTATGCTATTGTAATGACAAAGGCACTGCTCACACATCAAAGGAAGAGATCAGTCCTTTCTCTGTGTACCCGTACCATGTCATGTTCTTTAAAGACACGTTGTTTTATCTCATTTCTGAGGTTCCAAAATAACTTTTGGTAAAAGCAATGTGGGGGAGAGGGGGTGGGAAAGAAGGGAAGAGGACTTCCTATCCATCTGAGACAGAGGAAATTGTGGGGGTAGAATAGTGGTCTCAAAGGTAATAAGAGTTGGTAATATCTTTGGTGGGTTGTCCAAAGAAAATACAACTCAGCTATTCTGGCCTAACAGGAGGTTTATTCCAAAAAAGCAATATAACAAAAAAGCAGTGTATGTTCTTGAAATAACAACAACAGATAGGCAGCTATGAAGCAAAGCTGACTCAATCTATTTTTCTCCAGCAGTTGACATTTATTTTGTTTTTATGACAGTTTACTACAGCGCAAACATCTCCTTACATCACCTTTGTTGTTACAGTTCCCTGTGGACATCCCCATCTCAGACTGAAATGGCATTTGCCATCAGCTAGGCAAAACCAGTAAAGGAATGGTGGTTGTCATGAGGAGATCATGAAATGCTGTGCTGCTGAGTTTGGCATTCCAGTGGTTATATACCTGCTGAGTGAGGATTACAGCCGTTGACTTAGATCCCATGAACAAGATTTAAGCAAACTTTGTGCTCAGATGCTTTTTGGATTTGGTTTTGCAGAAGTCCTTTTTTGCCTTAGCTAAAGTGGTTCTTATTATGTCCACCCAGCTCTATCAGTGGGAAGAGGAATCTGAAGATTTGATCTGAGAAATGTAGTGGACACATTAGGTGAAATTTTAGTTTTTATTGCCAGGTTCATTGCACTAGAAGTTAATTAAAAATACCTGCAGCCCTCCCAAAACTTCTCTTTAGGAAACTATTCCTGGGCATAATACTGAAAATCAGAAAATATTTTAAAGTGGTTTTAAAAACAGACTTTTCAGAAGACATTACATTTAGTAGATCTTTTTATTAGAGATTCTAAATAGGATATATCGGGTTGCAATCGGGAGGCTTTCCATGTTCTTCTGTCTACAGATCTTTCCAGTAATACATGCCCTATTCAATCAATATAGTTAATTATTCTTCAATCAAAGAAATGTAACCTATTTCACCTCAATTTCTAGTCCACTTAAACCAATTATGTTCTCTTCATCTCTTGTGACTAGCAGTTAGTAGGTGGTATTTGTTCATCAGGACACTGATGAAGATCCTAGGGGCCATTTTGCTTCTCTGAAGTACCTGCCATTTCGTGAGCTCAGCAAACACACCTGCGTTGAAATTAAAAGCAAGGTAACATGGGAAAAGTCAGAATGAAATAAATAGAGAAGGTAATTTTTCATGCTCGTTTCACTTTTATTTTTGTAACTATTTTTTGCACTCCTCCACTACATGATTGTGAAGTAGAAATTAATGCTTTATTGTTCTTCATTGCAATGCAGAAGCACTGAGCGGTGGTTGGTTATAGCAGGATGTTTAGGAAAACATCACAACTTTTGTGATAAAAGTTATGCCACAGCTTTAAATTCCCACTACATTAAGCATCACTTCACAGTGCCCATGTTTTCTGGGAGGGAGCTACGAGACAGGTTGAGGGCAAGCTGTGAACCTTTGTAACATGTAAGATGGAATTGCTGCAGGGAGTTCATCTGGCTGATATGAACAGCAATAACCTGCCTTAAAGCAACTGCAAGCAAGACAGATTCAAGATGTCAGAGCAGCTCCTGCAAATTTCTGAGGATAAGGCTGATGAAGGATTTGCCTTTGTAGAGGGGGAGAATGAAAGACATAAGACTGTGGGATCTTAAAGACTTGTAGTGTGGCATTTAACAGCTGTAACGGTAGAGATCTTCACCGGTCACTCTCTCTCCTTAGAGACTGTTTTCCACATAAAACACAGCTGTAAGAAAACCTACAGCAAATCCAGACAAACAGAAGAGACAATTACTTCCTTTGGGATTTAAACAAAACCAAAACCCAACAAAACAAAGCAAAAAAGTTGAGAAATGTACCTTGACTTCCAGATGAAGTTTCTTGCATTCCAGAGCTTGTGATCTCCAGTTTGGCTAACATGGCTGTTGTCAAGTTCTAACAGTTACCTACAGCAACCATTAGCAATGATTAATGCAGCCTGATTTCTTCAAATGCACATTTGGCATGCCATTTCAAGGAGATGTAATTTTAGAGAAATTTTGTGTGTATCATTATTCAGAAAAAATTTATAACAAATGCTGAATTTCTACCCAAAGTACACATACTATTTTTATAAATTGTGGTAAGTACTTAGAAAGCAAATAATGTTGAGGAGGATACGTGGTATTCTTATATTAAAGAAGGAATGCAACCTCTTTTGAAGGCAGCGTTATAACCTACACCGTTTTAACTGAATAAATAGGTCTACCTGTACTATACAGTCCTGGCCCTTTACATTTCAAATCACCAGAGATCCCATTTAGATTTTGGCACTTTCTATATAGTACGACATGTCTGCATCTAACTGTTCTATGTGCTTAAGAAGTAGCCTTGGTTTCTCTGACTCAGCTCCCCAAAATTATGTTCAATTGCCTCTTTGCAGACTATATGTTTCTTACCAGATGCTTTTGTACTGTCTGAGCTCCAGACCAACTTAATGTAAGCGAGCTCCATCCAAAAGCTGCACAGCTTTGCTTGCATAACGCTCTAGCCAGATCTGCCTACCAAAAGGTTGCAGCCTTATGTCTACCACCAGGGCCTCACTTTAAAACCAGACTTCTCAATTTGTATTCTGTGTGTAGCAATTTTATTCTAGGGCAAATTCAAGACTGTGACTAACTTACGTGGTAACTGGGAAAACCATTAGGCCCTTGGTTAGTGCATCTGAAGCCATGTTAACAACATCTTATTTTAAAGCACTTTCTTAGTGTCCCTCCAGCTGATGAATAAAAAAAAAAAGTATGTAAAAAAACCCTGTAAGAGTCCTAAGACATCTGTACTATATCATGTACTGAGTAATTCTCAACAAAAACTATTATTTATGAAACGTCTTTCACCACAAGAACTGTCATAATTGCAGAAAGCTTTTCTCCAGTGTATTTTTATTAGGGATTCCTGCCATCGTATCAACATACAAAACAATCAGGATGTTGACATATAGAAATGTGAAATTCACTGTACAAAGATAAGGCTCAAGTTACAGGTATATTTTCCCCTTAGTCTCCATGAAATAAAACCATTTTTAATTCTTCCCAGAGTTGTGTTTATAAATGTTAGACAAACCACAAAATAGATTTCAAGTACATAACATTTTACAATATAATCCAAGCACAGACAGAAATACACAATACTGTACCTATAGATGCTCCATAATCCAAGTCTGTCATCCTCACCAATAAAATACTAGACTGCTACTCTCTCTGAATATGCCCAACCATATCATTCTGTGTGTATTACGTGGTCCTGGCCTTTGAGTTATAGGACTCATGATTTTCAGTTAAACTACTTTGATAGACCAGAGAATATCAGGAAGGAAGGGAAGAATTTTAAAAGGCCAGGCCTGAATGTATGCACATGGTTAGTAAAGGCTGGCACATGTGCACATACACACTTGCATCTAACCCTACATAAAACCTCACTGCACTGGACATTTTCTGAGATTATGTTCTCATGCAACTCAGCTATTTTCTGATAGAGTTAAATCAAGCATAACAATAGTCCTGCTTCTGGAGTGCTGTAATTTACAGGGACAAGACTATATTTTTGAGGAGAGAATCTAACTTTTTTTTTTTTTTTTTTAAATAATTATCAGACTTATATAGGAGCCTGTATGGAACCACATCTCCATAGTCCAGCAGGATGCCAGCTCTCACAGCCTTCACCACTCAAAACACCTTTTCCAGCACCTTTGTTTAGAAACAATGCAAGTGAATAATTTCCCGTTAAGGCCAAATGTCTACTTCAGTTCACTCTCCATTTCTATTAGGCTGAATGATTATTACCTCATGGGAAAGGATCATTTAGCTGCAAGTAGCACAAGAAGAAATACACGTCAAGTAACTAATCAATAACAATTCTCCTGGGGAACAGATTGGCAAGGACAAACAAAGACAAGAGAAAAAAGGCATTTGTTTAGTTTAGCCTTTGTTGGTTGGGAAATTAATAGCAATACAGAAGTTTTCAACTGAGAAATGGAACTCCTAAGTCCTGTAACTGTTTTGTCCTTTAAAAACTGGATAAGATTAGAAGGGAAGGAGAAATCCTCTAAGGAAATTGCCATTTTCAGACTAGACATTTGCAAAGGCTTACATCAGAAAACCAAGCAAAACCTGTTTCTCTGATATTGAAACTAAATGAATTTATTCAGTAGGAATTAGAGATATGGTTACAATGTGTTAAATGCACATCTAATAAAACAGCCTCAAATATGTCTCCAATTCATAAATCTCTAAGCAGGAGAAAGACTCTGAGGCCATGACCAGCGTTCCCTAGTTTAAATACGAAATACGTCTGCACTAAGATCGGTGGGGGAGGAAGAATAAAAACTTTCTCCTCTTAAATACAACCTCTGTGGTATATTTGAGGGCCTTGAGATGTTCTCAGCATTGACAAGACTTTACTTAAGTATATTCTCTAAGCTATATTGGAATACCTTTAGATATACAAATCCATGTTACATGAAACAGCATTAGATCATGTAACTGGGCAAAAAAGGGAAAGAGGGTAAGTATGCTGCTATATGTGAAAGGAAGCATATTAGTATGCACAGAAAATATGTTGTCTTACAGATTAATAATAACGGACATCAAGGATGAAGATGCATGTCAAAGTGTTTAAGCCTTTAACTGTGAGTCAGTAGAATACTTTTATGTCAACTGTACAGCCTAATGCTTTGCTTTTAAAAAGGAATACATTTTTCTTCTCTATCATTTTTTAAAGTAGGTCATCCACCTACTGATTTGGCTAGGGTTTTGGCTTTTTTTTTTTTTTTTTTTTTTTTTTTTTTTTTTTGCTACTTACTATTATCTTCTTCCATGTTATGTACAAAAATCTACATTTAAACTGATGACTCACTCTCTTCCAAAACGTACTTGGACTATCTTGTAGAGACTTTCTATAGCACTGATAAAGTTTGAGACGACCTGACAGGTAAGAGGAAGGATCATTACTTTCAGTTCTGCTCACTTCCCCAAGCTTTACAACTGTGCCTTTCAGAAACTCTTATGCGTACTTGGTGTCCTTTCACCTCCCCCAGGCAGCCCCTACTGAACTTGAGTGAACTTTCTATGTATTTCCCAAACCACAGTCCCTCTGCATAGAGCTATATTAAACTCATTCATTCTCCAGCCAGTAGTTTAAAAACAAGTCCTTGCTAAAACACTAAAAACACTCTACATGCCCTTGTGCATTATTCTTACCAATTTGTACATTTAAATAACATCAGAAGTTGTCTTTTGCTAAAAATTTACCAAAATATTTTAAACACATAAAAATGTAAAAAACCAACCAAACAGAAAAACAAACCAAAAACAAAACCCCAGCATAAACATTACTTGTATAGGCATTGGTTAGAAGAGATTGCTGCACTAAGGAGTATATTCAAAAAAGTTTTTCTTTCAGTTTCATTGGATTTAGTGTCATGGATTGAAAGGTTAAGGACAATAAAACTTATTGTGACCCCATCTTATATGATGTAATAGATGACCAGGAAGTCTGAAATGCAATTAAAATAAAGCTTTATTTTGGTTACTGAAAGGTGACTGTATAAGCCTGTAACTAAAGGGGTAATTTAAGTATGTAAAGGGAACTTAAGAACCTGAAGAGTCTGTAATGAACTAGATATGAAGACAGCTACTGCCTGATGGCCCCAGGGGCATTACAGAAAGCTGGCACTAACTGAAATTTTGAATATAGCCCTTAGTTGTATCATATTTATTTAAAATTTAAAAGCTGCCCAGCATGTCACGAATTAAGTTTATTTTGCAAGCCACCCACTGCCTAAGGGGGCAGTAATATTCAATATGAAACTGCTGAAACTCCGGCGTCTGACGGATTTCATGGAGAAAAGAGATTTGAAGGTCCGACTCCAAGAGAACAAGGAGAAGAGGGAACACAAACAACAACAGTCCAAGGCCTACAAGGAGAAGTCTGGAAAAACTCCTCACAAAGGCATTCACCTCTATGTTGCCCATTAGAAAGTCATAGCTCCACCTAAGCGCTCTCCGAGCTTCTTTCAGTTCCTCCTCCTCTGCAATCAAAAATGCATTTTCATCTGCTTCCAGTTCCTCAAATGAATCTGTATCATCTTTCTCATTCTCTACTCTTGGACAGGTATCAAAGAGCATGTCAATCTCATCATCAACAGGGGTGGGCAGCAAGCTGGCACTAGGATTGTATACCAGTTCTGAGATGGTTAAAGGTTCCTCTTTCATCTTCTCTTCCTGTTCAATGGCAAGATCAACATTCTCCCCAGTGTCCTTAAGTGGGGAGATTGAAGTCACAGGTACTGAAATCTCATCTTCCTTTGGCAGTTGGATACCTGAAAAAAGGAGATGAAAATAGTGATCCTAAATTTCTGCCTTCCTGGTGGCAAAATTCAGCCTTCCAATAGTACCTAATAAAGGTTGGAAAGAAGATTCTGCAATCATTTTGCATATTGAAACCAGACCGTACACAATTAGCAAAAGCTCCAGAGGAGGGCAACACCTTTTACAACACTGCAGTACACCAGATCTGCTTAACTTTGTCTGATGCAGTTACCACTAATAATGGTGTAATGCAAAATACAAAACAGAACAGCTCATTTTCTACTGGCAATTGGACTTCTGATGTAAATGAATACCTCATACGTAATGTGAATTGGTGCTATTTGGTGTCCAATTAAAATAATAATAATAATAATAATAATAATAACAACAACAACGACAACAACCCACCTTTATTTCTTTGAGATGAATGAGGAGAAAGTGATAAGATAATGGCTGAGGTTGGGAATTTTTAATAGATTGTGACATTAGGAAAAGACAATAGCTTATCACAATAAATTCATATTAACAGTAGAGATGATAAAAGGAGAGGAAGGTTGACACACAGTATGAGGATTAGGTATCATTGAAACAGAATGAAAATGCCTCACCTCTTAAAAAAGCTCCCTCTCCTCATGTCTCATTTTTCTTCCATTCATCTTTCTACTCTTCATACTCACAGTCTCTTTTCTCCCCTTCCTTTAAACTTCTCTCTCCCCCTTACAGTGGAGTCTTTCTTAGCCTTACTGGTATGCTTGTTTCTTATGACCACACTCTCTGCCCAAGCTTTCTCCTCTCAAAACATACTACCCTTTTTCCAGTCTAACAGTAACAGCAATAAGTCTGCAAAGAAGTCTAGCTGTTTTGCAGCTACATCAACACTGCAGTGACTGCTGTTAGTTGTCAGTTGCATGAGTGGAAGGGAGGAGAGTCAGGCACAAAGCTCGGACAAAGTGATGGGAAAACAGTTTAAATTTGTCTCATGTCCAACACTCATTACCGTCATCAGATGCCATCTATGTGCAAAAGGAACATAGAGCATACACAGTATCATGTACAACAGTAATATGTAATAACACTTAGTACTTCTTGTTTTGTGATGTTAAGCATCTCTCCATTCTTTACTAACAACTAATCCAAATTCAACATATAGATAAGGACAGAGCAGGTAAAACCAATACAAGGTTACATGACTTGTCCAACTAGTAACTCAGGAAATTCATGTCAAAGTACTATTTATAATTCAAATTAGCCCGATTCTTTGATTTCAGCGAAAGATCTCTGTAAAAGCTAATGAATTGACATCATCAAAGATTCATTCCAGTTTTAGTGCAGTGAAGATTAAGGTTCAGAGACTTTAAAACACGGTATAAAAGAAAATGTATTATTACAGAAAAACAAGTAATCAGAAAAGCAGTACACCTCCAGTGCTAATTACACTAGACATATCATGGTTTTCAGTGTAAAGTAAAAGGGTCTCTGCAAGCTCTATTAAAGTTTTTTCTTAAAGGATGGCAAACATAAAAAAAACTAAACTAAACAAAAGGCCCATTATGGTCACTTTGAGACAAGGGAAATAAAGTATGACCTGAACCATGCTATAAGGAAGAGACAGATGCATCACTGCTCTATAAACACGATACAAGACAAAAATTGAAAAGCAAAAATCCTGATCATAAAGACATCTACAATATAGGAAGATACACAGCTTAGACACATTTTGGATCACAATTCTAAGCTACAATTTTAAATATTAACTCAACTATTGACCAAAATTCTGCAAAGAATTTCACTTTGAGATCAGAAGCCTTTTCACATTTTTTCTTGAAAATGTCACTGATTTGTTTTTTTTTACATTATTAGTCCTAAGAACAGTAGATACCATTCACTGTACTGAAATTATTAACTTTGTTCCTGAAACCTACTTTCCCTCTATTTGACTAGATAGCAAAAGAATATTCTTATGCCTTTGGCTAGTGATCATTAAACTAGCAGTAGGCATAACTACATTTCACCCAAGCTGCTGACACTTACCTTTAGACTTTCTCACTGTTCATAATTTTGCATTTCTTGAATGGCAAGGTCTTACAAACTCTATTTTAAATTTCTCCCCCCCCCTTTTGTATCTACCATGACTACCAAGCTCAGGACAGGACATATCCATGAAAATCTCAGTTTCATAACTGATACCAGATTTGTGCACTACCAGGTCACTCAGCAGTAGACCTACCCTGAGCCAGACACAGGCACATGATCACATTTCTGCCAGAGCCTGAAATACTCAGTATTTGCAGAAAAATCTGCCAATACAAAGTTAACATGTCAAAACTTCGTAAATGAAATTAAACAAGCGGATTAATACTTTGTGAGACGGGGCTCCTGCATTAGGAATCTTAAAGCTTGCTAAGACACTTACTCATGGACATATCTGCCATAGTACCCTGTTGTATGCCACAGTGCCTGACAGTTACCACAAAACCTTCCACGCAACCTCTGCAGACCTGTTAGCATGTTCTCCAGACAATCAAAAGGGTAAGTAAGGTACCTGCTAAGTTACCCCAGTTTACAGACTTCCCAAAAATTGGGTGAGCGATGGCTTGTTAATATCTGGTATCTTTAAAATTATACCAAACTTAATACCAGTTGAATTGGGATGAATTATACCAAACTGTCAATACCAGTTGAATTGGGATGAAATGCCAATAAATGTAACATAAAATATACGACATACTACAAATATTTCTAAAAGATGTAAGAAATTACAGAAAACCTGCACTTTAAACCTACTTATATTAAATCACTTCTTGAAAGACGACAACTTTCTGGATCCCCTTCTTAGTGCATGCTTTTATGTGTCATGTTATATTCATTACAGAAAATCTCTTCATTACAGAACACCATCCTCATCACCCCTTCAGTAGAGCATGTTAGCTATTAAAATTTGTTTCTCCTTTTAAGTCTTCAAAATGGCCCAGACAGATCTCTCCCCCTGTAATTTGTTATCTTTTCCTGCTCTCTAGGAGATAAGCTGGCCATGCCTCCAGGTGAGGTTTCACATTCTGGCTAAATCAACCAAAAAGACCATTTCTGCTTCCTCTCATTTCATTCCTGAGCGAGCCAGCTTGTAAAGCTAACCTAGGAAAATAACTGTTTTTCTTCTTGGGTTAGTTCTCTGATGGTTTTTCTTCCTGAACTGGCTTGTCAGATGTTCCCACGAGCGCAGCACGTTACCAGGTATGGAGAGAGAGAGCAGGAGTGCTCCTTTCATCAGCACGTAGCCAGCAAATCTGCATAGCTGAAATGAAACCTTATCCTCAATAAAGAAAATGCAAATGTCTCCTCATTAGCTTAATTTGACTGCCTAGCTAATAATTCCTTGCCTCAACTACTCTGTCCTCTCCTATTACAGCCATTTTAGAAATTCATCACATTTCAGCATGAAACATGTTTTGTGCTGGAACTTATTTTCTACAACAGTCTTTGCATTAACAAATATACTTGCCACACTCATCAAGAGGAGGATACAAACTGATTGAAACTAGACACAACAGTATATGAACACTAAGAGGTAAGAACAGATTTGGGGGGATCTTTCTCCTAAGCATACTGTAACAGCAGGTAAAGCTGGATCCATACTCCGAGTCATTTGACAGTGCGCTCACAATATCTTAAAATACAAAAGCCAAAATTTTTAAACTCTGGAGCCCAGCATTAAGCACCTACACATATCTTTACATACACAAGTACTACAATTTGATTTTCAAATGTGCTTTTCACTTTTGCTTAATAGGAGTAAAAGGTAAGTTGAGCCACTTACTTAGGCACCTCAGTATGGATTAAAGGACCTAATTTTAACCTCCCAAATTTGAGAACCCTGGCCATAGGCCTCTCTATACCTGCTTAGATGCAAGGTCAGTAATATATCTTCATCATGTTTCTCATCATAGAGAGGACAGCTGCAGCTACTGCAAAGAAAGGTCACCCCAATTTATGATTCTTGAGCCTTCTCTCCTTCCCCGGAGTAAATTCCAGCGTGCATAACATACATAGTGAACATAAACAAGAAAGATCATGTTAACTTTCATTAAAACTGTATTTTTCTCAAATAACCGGCAAACTTCTGACTTTGTGATTAACCTGTAGACAGAAGGCAGCAGAGGAACCTTTTCAGATCAGTGTTTTCTGAAGGGGTTGTATTAAAATTGGAATGGTTCGCAGTTCCAAAGCATACATCAACTTTACAGTCCACTTTACTTATGTAAAACATATTACATCAAAGTAACTGCATTTTACATCAGCCAAATACAAGTGTAAATAAATAATATTTTAATATAAAAAATTGAAATTTTTGAATGGGCATTAACTGCTGCTGTTGCAAGCTCATTTGATATTTAAAAAGTTAAATATATAAAGCTTCATATTCCCTCATATTCCCTATAACACAACAACATTTCTCAAGTCAAGGATTGAGGAAACACTTAGCTATTAAGCATGGGCAATGCAAGCCCACAGCAAAGTTCCAGCCATGTTGCAATATACAGATAAGTATGTTGGGCCACTCAGATTTTGATGGTGTCAAAAGACAAAAGTGTGGTGTCATTATGGCACCTATCATTTACAATGCTTGTGCAGGCATAAGAATATCACATTAAAGCACCGAAATTCTACAGTACAATAAATATTCCAGTGACACAAATTTAAGAAAGGAGCAAGTTTTTCAGCTTACTTACTTTTTGGATAGCCTTCACTTTTTGGATAGCCTTCAAGAGAGCCAGTTATCTGAAGTAATAAAACCAGTTTAAAAGAAAAAAAAATCCTCAAAGTCTTCCAATGGAAAAAGAGAATATAAAAGCTAAAGCAAGCCTGAAGCCAATATCCTTTAATTACTCTACAACATTGCTGCAAATCCTTTGCTCCTATTCATACATAACCATTATTTTGCTGCTACCCTTACATGGCTATAATTTTGTATAATTTTTTGGGCTAGATTTTGAGAAGTCTACTGTTTCTTTAG